CCCCAAAACCCCAAAACCCCAAAACCCCAATAACTAAATTTATAATTTCGCACTATTATAAATTTTGAATTCAAATTATAAATAAAGTCAAAATGAATTATCCCCCAAGTTCATATAGATTAGATCACAATGATGTTATGAAAAATCTCAATGCATCCAAAGATAATCTAAGAAAAATGGCTGACTATAAACCTGAAATCTACTTTATCGGATAAATTGTAGGAGGAAGTGATTTCCCAACTGACTTAGATGGGTTATTTGTTGAGGCAAGTTTAAAATATGGAGAGAATTGGAAATTGATAGAGAAGACCTCTACAATTTAGACTCATACTTCTTATCCCGATGATGAAGGGTTCTTTGTGTTTGCTCATCCCTTTGATTTCTACTTTATTTGCGAGAGTGTTCAAGGATGGTACTAATTTAATATTATTTTAATTTCATCTTATAGGCCCAAACTCAATATTAAGGTGTGGAGACTTGATCAGTATGGAAAACTTGACAATATCGCTTATGGCATCATCAATTTACCTAATGAAACTGGCTCCTTTGACTTGGAATGCCCAACTTGGAGACCAATGAGTGGCTGGAGAGAAGAATCGTACAATTATTATCTTGGAGGTCCTCCAAAGCTAGTTAATTCAGACCCTATAGTAAGAGACTTAAATAAAAGAAGATTCTTGACTTCAATGAGCTCTGGATCGATTCATATCCATTGTGAAGTGCTAATGAAGGGATATAGAGATTCTTTTATTAGTGGAGATCAGTGAGGATTGTGAGATTATAAGAGTATATATAGTTTATCAATTTTCAGTTTATAGTAATAAATTTACTTTAGCTTAATATTATGCAAAAAATTAATATTGTTAAGTCATATCATGTTATACTACCTTTTTATCATAACTTGGTAAAATAACTTTTGTTAGGAACACTCTACTTCTTAGATCTTACCTTACTTTCTACAACACTATTGTAGGAAGTTATTGTTACTGCTCCAGTCTTATTACTATTTTCTTTTCCAGTGGGTTTGCTGAGGTTTAATTTGATTGTTTTTTAGTTATAAGGCTTTTATAAAGCGGTTTCCTTACATATAAAAGTACTAGTTTTAGTTTCACCGTGCTAGACTTTTTAGTTGAATTTATCATATGATTTATCACTTAATACTACAATGGCTGGTTCCTCGTCATCATCGTCACACTCATCTACATCCTCAGCCATGTCTCCAGTAATTTATACTGAAATTATTGGCTATCTCTCACTCTTTTAGGTTAAAGGTCCAATAAGTTTTGATTATTTTATGGGAGAACTTTGCTTTTTCTTGAATACATTAGTCATTGGACTTGGCTCAGTTATTTTATTGAAAGAGCTGAACTATTTTTGATTGATTTAGTTTGAATTTAATTGTTAATGATTTCTTGGAGTTATTGTAGATTCTTTCTTCTAATGAAACTTGTTTAATTTATTGGGTTCAGAGATATGGAAAGAAATGGAATTGCTTTAATGATGTTTGGTTGAATTAGGAACTTGTAAACCTTTAACATTATTTGCAGGCTTTGAGGATTGAATACCAAGAGTCAAATCAATGGATCTTTTAAGTTAGTTATTCAAAGCTGATCTTTTGTTTGGGGCTTATGCTTTAAAGCTGGCTAAAGTATTAAAAATGCAGTTTGAGTTTTGAACTGCTTGCATTTTGTTTGGTATGTGAATTGGAGTTATACTAGCAAAACTTAGCTATGACTTGCTACCATTTACTGAGTTATTTTGTAGGTTTAATAGCGATGTGTCTCCAGACTTCCTGTTAGTCATGAGTCCATTTTAAATTGTCTTCTGTGGGTTATTTGGATTATTAGACAAATCTAAAAATCTGACATTCCTTGATAATGGCTTTTCAATCTTAGTTAAATTTACTTACTGAGTCTTTCTTTTGTCCTTTAATGATAGTTTCTTCGACAATTCATTGACTGCTTGGTTGAAATTAGAAGTCATAGATTTAGGATTGTATAGATTTTGAGATACTCCTACCACTCCTCTTGTTAATGAACCTTTTTTACCTAAAGAGATCTATCTATTCTTACTCTGAGTCTTGAACATCAAATGATTATTGCAAGAAGTGCTAGTCCTTGCTAGATTATTCCTTAATCTAATATTTTAATGAGAAGAATAGAGCTGAGTTGTCGGTCTATTATCATTTGAATTAGATCTTGATGGTCCACCATTAGTATTTTCAGAAGGCGATCTATTATTATTTTACCTGTAAATATCTATTCTAGTCTTTGCAAATCTTAAATCATTAGGTGCGCTGACCATCATACTGAGATTCTTGTGATGGAATTATGAGCTAATAGATGGTCGCTCTTAATAATCAATGGATTAACTTTAATTGTACTTTTGATTGATTATCATGCCCAGTGTAGTCAATGGATTTTAATTGATTGATGATCTAGATTGACTAACACTCTTTTGATTGCATTAATTTTCAGTATTTTGCTGAAAACACACTCTGTATAGCTCTTTCACACAAAAATACTAACTGAATTTTTGAATCAACTCTGAACTCTCTATATCATTGTCTACAAAGAATTGATCTATATTATAAGCTTAGTTGAGATTATAGAACTGGTTTCCTTTCGTAGCTATAATCCTAATTACATCCTTTTTAACTGCATTATCATTAACCAGATGCAAGACTTCATAGTAATCATTGAGTTTGTTGAATGTAAAATCTAATATTTCCAAAAAAGGCCAAATGAATTGAGTCTTATGCTAAGATACCATGCTATCATCAATCATATGATTATTTCCACCTCTTAAAAGAAGAGAACTAACTAGATTATGTGAAAGATAAACTTCTTGTAGTTATCTAAGCAGCGATAAATTTGAAATATCAGTAATCATATTGTGAGATAAATTGAGAAACTGCAAATTCTAGCATTGCTCAACTCCTTGCAATGTTTGAATTAGATTGTGGCTCATGTTTAAAATAAGTAATTGTTATGCTTAGAGTGGATGGAACATGTAGATTCTACTAAATAAGTTTTTATTTAAATTAAATCCACGCAGATGAGAGTTTAGTTCCTTTCTTACTTGCTACTGTGGCATTTAGATTGAAGAAACGCATCTTTGATTGGTATATACGATGTCATAATAATTTATTTATTGTTTGTTTTCAGAGGTTAAGTCCTCAATGCACACGATTGGTTAATATGTCATTGACACTGGAGATTTTTAGTATTTAAACTATGAGTTGAAAGCACTCTCGAATGGAACCTTATAGGAAAATACTTTACTGCTTATTTCACTAATGTTATTATTGCTTGTATTTTTTGCTCTGACTGCTGAAGATGACAATTCTCTTCTATCGCTTTTCTCATCTTTTGAGTCAGTGTTAAGGATATACTAATAGTGTTAAGTTTTTCCGTTTATTTTTCCATTTAGCTATATTGGTGTTTACAGGCCCGAAGATGGTGTTAGGTAAAAGCTACAGTGCTAATTGGTGTTGCCGAGAGTTTATTTACTATCATTTCTCTATTTAGAGAGGTTTTTTACAGATGTTCTATCGTTATTTTCCTAAATATAGTAATTTTTATCAGCTGTATCATCCACCATGCTTCTTTTATTATTGCTAATTATTGAATCTTTAAAATCAATCTTTTTAACAATGTTATCAACAGATGGTGACTCATCTAAGAAATTTCCTACCTAATGATCTTAGGTATTTTAGTTAGTTAGATTGTTTTATATGTTGTTTTTTATTCTAAGGCTAATGTCCTTTTGTTGCCAGTAGGGACTAAACATAGGACTTTTAATACTCGCGGTATTTTTCTCATCACTATCCCCTAAAGTATTATTATATGTGATTAGATGCTGAATAACGAATTCCTAAGCATTATGAGCTTGATTTTTAACATGAGTTTTGTGATTTCTTTAGTTTAATAGAATTTTACTGATCGAATCCTCTTTAAATCTGTCATCATGCTAAACCTAAGTATCATCTTTATCAGCTGATAAAATCTGCATTACTGATGATGGATTCCTTTGATTGTTAAGGTATTGCTCTGTAATAGCAGTGCCATAGCATTCCTCTGAAATATTCACCAAGTCATCGTACTCACTCATCTGAGGAATGTTACTCGCAGATAACTAATTTGGTTTAGTGGTTTAGTACTTAGAATGATTATGGTTATGACTAGACATAGGGGCTGGCTTCTAGACTAGTTTATTGCTCAGAAACATGTCAATAACATCATCCCAAGATAACCGAGATGTGTTGTTGATTATCAAGAATCTTCTCAAGTTGAATTCTACTTCTTAAATTGTGAATCCCTTTTCATTTCCATGCTTATTAATATAGTCGTCTCTTGCTTAGAGAGGCAGCAGATTTTTAATTTAAGAGAGAGCTTCCAATAGTTGATAAATATCTACCTCATTTGAGTTGCTGCTACTACTCTATGAATGAGTGCCGTTTAAGATCTGTTAGTGACTCATGCCAACACTAGATGTCAGTTTATCAAATAGTACTTTAAGGTAGGTCATCCAGTTGAGTCTACTCATCATTAGCTGATCTTCTGCTTCAGCTGAAACGAGAGTCTCATATTATGGGTCTAATGTCTCCATTTAAATTTAAAATTATTTTACTGGGAAATTAATCATTCAAATTTAAAATAAAACAGCTTCTATTTTATCTTATTGCTATTTTCATTAATTTTTTATTAACTAAATGGTGGGGTTTTGGGGTTTTGGGGTTTTGGGG